TTCAGCGTGTCCTTAGGTAAGTCTATAAAATGTGCACGCCTTTGTGTGTTTGTGTGCATATGCAGTGTATGCTTCACACCTGACAATCAATCTGTCTTTCAGAAAGTGAGAGATTGAGCGGGAAGAATAACTGTGGGTTTAAACGTGAATTCTTCTCCATTTCCTGTAAGCAGCTCTAAAAAATTGAGAACAGGAAAAATATCAGATGTCAAGCTTTATTTTTTTCAAAATCTCTGCCACTACCATTTTGAAGTTTCACTACAGAATCGGGGCTCACAGGCCCACAGTCCCCTCTTTAACTGAGAGGAATCGGGCCAGTCTGTGCCGTTTGTCCTTCTATGTCCAGCCAAAGTATTATACCTCCCCCTCTCACATCACCAGCGTCGACATTATGCAGAGAGACAGCTAAGTAATTGCCATCAAACTTTCCTGCTCGCTCCCCATTCCCTCAGCAGCGGGGATGGGAGGGGTACGGTACAGTAGCAGCAGCAAATATGAACTGCATTCTCACTGAGCACAGACCAGGAGCAGGGGAGGCACCGACATCGCAGTCCACTGCCACAGACGACGAAGAATGGATCTGTTTGTTAAGGCCCTTTCTTTTTTTTTAAATTCTGGATGGGGGATTTCTGAAGATAGGACAACTGCTTCTCATATGATGAGCTGTATTGATGATGATTAATTTTTAAAATGCGAGCCTCGGTTTGGCTGAGGATATTGGGCTTCTTCAGAAGTCTCCAGCACCTGCTAACCAAGAGAATGGTGCTAATTGGGCTGTGCGATTCTTCAAATTAAACAAAGGTGTTTCCTGTATCTAAAGCATGTGATTTTTGATATTATGCTTTATTCATATTGAGTTGAAAGCAAAACTCAAATGAGACATGTTAAGTTAGAATAGCTATATAGCTATTTGGCAATCTGGATGATTTGTAGTCTCTGACCAACTGTTATGGCAGGGTCTAGACCTAATGTTTCTCTTTGCAATAATGCTTCTGTGGTATTTCTAAAAGAAGAAACTTGGAAGAGCTCACTTTAACACGCTCAGTATGTAATTTTGGAGGCGAGCAGCATTTGCTCCCCTGTCATCCACAACAACAATTTCAGTCTTGGCAACTGAAGCAGAATGTTCATGTCCGTGTGGTACGCCAAAAAGATGGGCAGCCGCTTCCTCAACAATGTGCGGAAAGCCAAAAGGCATCGACACCATAAGATGGTAGGCATTTTTTAAACATGTTAACTCTTATTTTTAATCATTGTACTTCAATATATTTGAGAATTTTTTCACGAATATGATATTGTGCTTTGTGGCTCAAAAGAGGTGCAGTTTGATTATTAGCACCACCAAGATGGCCATGTTTTCATCTGCATTTGTTTGTTTGTTAGTTCGCAGGATTAAAACCACTTGTGGAGGGGTGGCATCACCCATGAGGAACTTTTCATTCAGATCCAGATCAGTGGGCAGGTCCAGGAATTTTTTAACTTTCTTTAAGACAGAGATGCGTTTTCTGTTGACTTCTCAGTCATGGATCTTAGGGAACTGATACTGTGTCTGCAAATAAAAGATCTAGTGAATTTAAATGTGATTTATTAAGGTGAGTTGATGGAGGTAGTTTTTGATTGTGTTATGTTGTGGTACCAAAGGGTGGACACAGGGTTTGTCTTCTACCAGCACAGATACAAAGCACAGGTCAAGGCTGTGTTTACAGCCCACGATAGATATTTTAATCATGGTGTAACACAAGAAACCAAATGTGGTCATATTAATCAAATCCTGCTCGGGCTGTGTGTGTGGGTTGGGAGGAGTGAGATGAAGATATGTTCTGCTGCTCTGATGATGCGAAGGTGCTGCTTTGATACTTCATTTGATATTCAAACAAACGTGGAGATGTATGAGCTAACTAACTCCACCAACACACCCCTACAACACACAAGCACTTATAGACACATGCAAGCACCTTTTCCTGCACTCCACACATACCAGGGGTTGACCAGGAAGCCAGTAGATGAGCAATATGCATGATGTTACATCTAAATTAACCACTGTCGCATCCTGCACTGAAACCAACGAACTAAAACAGAGGTTGTAAAAATCAGCAGCCATTCAACAAGCCTCACTAAAACCACAGCTATTACAAAACTCTTCACAGAACATCTTAGAAGTCTTGTCTTCATATCCCTGCACAGCTCTAAGGTAAAGGTCAGTGTGGAGTAGGTAATGCATGCCAACTTAATGTTACTGTCAGTTTAGTTTGTTTCAGATTGACATTGCGTATTTAAATTAGAGGTCACTATCTTGTTAATTGAGCGGATGGCTTTTACCTGTTGGAGGCTGTTGCAAGGTGTGCAGCACATGCAGCATTAAAGCCTCTAATGCAACCTATGATATGTGTCGACTCGTCGTCCTCTCCAGTGACCTTGCAAGTATTCTTTGCACACTTTATCTCAACTTGAGACAGTGCATGGCATTTTAAATATTCTTAGGCTTAACTAAGCAGCTGACTGTCATTACTATTGGCAGGATTTCACCTCCTTTGACTAAAAATATCCATCAGCCTGAAGGCAACGAGTGGTGCGGGTCTGACAGGACGTGCATGTTTGCAGGTGCACATGCGCAGAGCAGCAGCTAGATTGATGAGATAGTTTGAGTGTCTTGTGAGTCACATTGCAGGAGGTAGTGGGTACTGTACTGTGTGTATCTACAGCCTGAATATAGCCTGCAGCTTGAGGTTTCCACTGCTAAATTGCCTGTACTTACTCTATTTATTCAATTCTTAAGGGAGAAAAGAAATCGATTCAAACCCATAGCTTCATACTTTTGGTGCTGTGTTATGCTTCAGTGCATGCTTGAATATTTATGGAATTATTACATCACAGCTTCGCACAAAACTCTGGGACAATTTATTCAGACAAATCTAAATAAATGTGTTTCATTTGTTGCTGAATATGCTTTTTCTGACTGTTGTGTATGAACTCATCAAGGCACAGGTCCAGGTGCAGAGGGGTGATGGTGCTGCCTGTAGAGACATGGCAGAGGACAGGGTGGCTGAATAGGTAGTGCTAAAATATAGGTGGGCGAGAGCAGCCCAACACTGTAAATCCTAACAACCCTGATGTCGAAAGACTTGACAGAGCAGAGAGAACGAGAGAGGGCTCTGTCTAAATCCCTCCAGGGGAAACTGCCTGCACTAGACTTGAATTTCTGCTGGCTATACTCATTATTTTCTGTCTCCAGATAAGGATGAATTTGACGTAATGTTCAGCAGCACGGCCCGTTGGACACAGCTACACGGTGAAGCTCTGCACAGGCAACTCTTACAATCGACAGTGTTGGGTTAACGCAGAGTTGGCTGGCATTTTGTGCAGGGCTGGGGGGGGGGGGGGGGGGTATGTCTTTTCTACCTTTCTGTATATTTATGACCATTTCTCTTCATAATGGAAGGTATGATTAGTATAATTCAACAATGAGTAGGTTATAGTTGTATGGGCTATATTATACTGAGAGGGTTTATATTATTTAGAAATGTATACTCTCCATTTACATTCATGAGGTGAATATTAAAAACATCAGAATATAATGCAGCCCAATACAACTCCATCAATAACATGGCCTAGATGCTAAATATAAGGGAATAAACAGCTATAGGTCAAACATAAAAAAGAGCATTACAGGCCTCATAAAAGTAGAGTTTATGGAGCAGAAGCATTGGGTTGCTTTAGTTTGTACAGTTTGGAAACTGAGTGTTAAGAGCCCAGTTCTGTTTGCAAAGAAAATACAAATCATTTTAATAATCTGTGTAAGAACAGAGAGCATTTCTCGAATTCAGGTTTCGGCTTTATACAAAGAGAATGCACTGAGTGACAAAATTAACCTTTAATTTCATCACAAAAAAATTGCTGGGTAAGAGGGAGAAGTGTGTATTTGTGTGTGTCGGACTGGGAGCGTAGTCATTTGTGTATGTCGGACTGGGAGCGTTGTCGTTTGCGTGCATTGGACTCAGAGCTGTCAGGTGTGTGAAGGTCAGCAGGCTGGTTTTCTGCTGCCGTTTGCAGTTCTATAAGCACTTGAGAAGCACAGGGTCTTTCCCATGCTAATCAGCATGGTGCCGAAGAATGACGAGTAACATAATAGATGTAGACACTTGGAAAGAGAGTCAGAATGTGTTTTTTAAAGTGCTGCGCATAATTTACATCTTCCACCATCAGATACTCTCAGGATGGGACTAAATCCTGTAAAGAAGCAAGAAAAAAGTTAGGATTAAGAAGCGAGGAATAAGACGTGTGTCACACCTCAGAGAAACTCAACAGACAGGTGCTGTAAACCTAAACCGCATCAGTGCCAAAAATCCTGTCCTTTCATTGACTTGCTGTCGTTTCTGTTCTTTTCCTTAATCACTTTGTTCCTGATGAATAACTTGCTGAAATGTTGACACTGGCCTTACACTTTGTGCAAACGGTAATGGACGTAATGTGGTTCTGGACAAAAGTTTGACAGGCACAACTCAGGCTATGTGCACACTGAGGATAATGGGACTAACTGTGCTGTCGGTCACTGCCTCTACGTTTCCTCGTCATCCTCGGGAGTGTGCTGGGAGATCGCCACCATGTGCCTTCAGTACATGAATCACCGCTTCAGAAGAACTGGTGGGCAGGAGGTTGATGCCTATGTCCACACTAATCACAAGATGGCCATTTAGCATCTGTAAAACAAGTCATATTATCATCCGAGCGATAGCTGAGGCAAATCTGACACCAGGAATAAGAGGGCCGTCCGCGGGTAGATGATAAAAAAACATTCCTGAGACCATGCACTCCATCCTTTAGCAGAGTGACAACAACAGCAGAGTGAGAATAGTGTTATCACAGCTGAGAGCTAAAATGGCCATCAGTCTTGGCTGTGATTGTAGGTTTCAGGGATATACTGAGAGCTCATCCAGGAGCTGCGTCATCTCTGAGTCGCTGCCATCATTTCTTAATAATGTTTCCTCTCTCTGTGTCTCCAGGGAAATACTCCTCCAGTGGTGGTGAACACCGACACGCTCGATGGTTCCCCATATGTAAGGATTATGTTTAATCTCCCTTTTATTGTATTAGCATGTTAGGCTCAACCACATAACTCCCTTAACGGCCTTCATATTCACTCTGTATTATCAGTAGTTCCATTACATTCCCAACATCCAGGTAGGTTTGCCACTCATTGTTTTAACCTGAATGATAGCTAAATTATTTGTATTTTTGATTAAAATAAAGTTTCTCTGTTACACATTTGTCAGAACGGAGCTATCACTTCACTTGATCCTTTAATTAAGCCGTTTCTAAAATGAAAGCACATATTAACGTGAATAGTGAGGGATTAGAGACCGAGGCGTCTCAGAGAAAAGCCTGCAATCGCATGCAGGCCAGTATTTCTGCGCCACTACAGCACTAGGAAAAGTTGTTTTCTAGGTCAGACACCAAAACAGCGAAGTCTGAAGTTGTTTGAATTCACTCTTCCTCTGGGACGGGGGGTAAAGCTGAGTTGTCCAGCCACAAGCGAATTAGGCAGAGAACAGCGCTGCCATTATCAACCAGGTACCACACATACAAGAGGAGCGAAACGATTTTGGAGCAAACTTAGTGGACAGTCTGGTGGAGGGAAGCAAAATAACTGACTTCAGGATTTAGACTATTATTGTAGTGTATACTTCAACAACTTGTAAACAATAGTTCAATAAGAAAATTATTGTACTTCAAATTTGAATGTCCTCTACTTTCTTCTACTTCTACACTATTAACTAACATTTGTTTCCGACAGGTGAATGGGACAGAAGGGGAAATCGAGTATGAGGAGATCACACTGGAGAGAGTGAGTTGGAGAAAATAAATATTTTAGACATATTTACAGTGAATGTAACAGATCTAATTATACAGTACAGGATCACTCATGTCAAATGTCCCTGATGTGATGAATAAACATCACGTTTGTCCATGTGGTTTTGCTACTGCAGGGTAACTCAGGCCTGGGCTTCAGCATTGCAGGGGGAACAGACAACCCTCATGTGGGCGACGACCCCAGCATCTTCATCACCAAAATCATACCCGGAGGAGCGGCGGCTCAGGATGGACGGCTGAGGTAAAAACCATATGTACTGTGTAACAGGAAGCACCAACCAGTCTGAACATTTGCATTATGTTCCCAGGTCCCTGATATATGAAATCTAGGTGTAAAAAGCCCATGGGGCGTCCATGCACAAGCAAATTGGGTTTCATATGAGTAAAATGCTGCTCATGGCCTCATGCTCTAAACCATTTCTCTTCACCTTCTTTCACAATGTATTGTCAATGAACAGATAACCTGTCACTTTTCTACCAAACGCACTTAGAGAAAGAAACAGCCTCAGTAGAACGTCCCTTCTTCGTGTCCTAAATATTCTGTCTGTCACACTCAACACCCAAATTATATCAAAGGACCTGGTTGATTCAAAATCTCCAACCAAAATATAATCTTCTATTGATTTGTGTCCATCTACTCAAAATGACTATGAAAGTGTGAAAACAGTGTTCTGACCATAAATGTAACAGATTGCATATTTTCCAGGATCCTGTTATGAGAATATGAAATGTGCAACAATGTCACATTTGTTTTCCCATGAGGCTGCAGTTTAGAGTTGGCCTTGCTGAATGAAAACAGTATAGAGCCCGACCGACTGACTGGGCTCAGCCACCAATACGAGCCTTTCACAGACAAATCAGCCGTTTATGTTTGACTATATGCGCAAATATGAATACTTTTATTTTACAAAATGAACAATGCTGAAATGAGGTGCATTTATATTGACATTTATAATATATATACACATATGTATAAAATCTATACATAGTAAATAAAGTATATGGTTAAACATTCAAATATCAATTACATATAATGGCATCTAAGGCCAATACATCAGATCTCCCTTTTCACAGTATCAGTACCACCCCCCCAAAGATCCATATCAGTCAGGCTCTAAGAAAGACTTCATTTTATGAGTCATTTTCCCAATTACACTGCCATAAGCAAGTACATATGGGCATCCTCCTCCTCTTTACAGTTGACCTATAAATGTCCATCTGGATTGGCGTGAGAGTTTAAAGAGCGCCTGGAGAAAACCCTTATAATTGACTGAATGTAGATTTTTATTTTCTTGACCATGACTGTCTGAAATATCTTGAAACTACCATGAACGTCATGTTGCATTTTCCATAAAGGTAATTCTTTCACTTTGAAATCAGAACAAAGAACCCTGAGATGTTTGAGAGAGCAGTGCTGAACATTTTATACTGCATGTACATTAATTGTTCTTTATACCTTGATAAAGTTATAGTTTTGTCACTATAAAATCTTGGATGAAGATGTCAGCAGTCATTTCTTTTGGAGCCTTCCTCAGTGATCTCAGTGGTTAAACCTCAAGAATCATTTCAGCCTTACAAAATGCTACACTCTATGATGTTCAGGGCTGTGAAATCGATTTTAAACACATGAATGGAATTGTGATAAGTGGAGTTTTCAGGCCCTTGGAGGAAGAATGTGTGATACTGAAAATAGCCATTTCATCAGAATCTTGCTGGAAAATCAGCTGTCACTTAAACTTCAACTCCTCACTGTAATTTTCAAGAACAGTTAACCCAAAGAGAGCTATATACTGCAGCTAACCTTTCAGCTGGATTAACAGTGCAAGGGTCTATACCCTCTTATAATAGTATGTTGAGAGCTGGGGAAAGGCGAGACATCTGTGGTGAAACTGGATCCCCAACAAAGTGATAAGTGAAGATTGACTCGTCTGGTGCAGGATTACACCTGATTTCTGCACCAAAACAGAAACTCAACGCTGTGTTTTCACTCTCCCTCCCACTGTCTCTCTCTGTCTGTCGCTTTCCCTGTGTCTTATAGTGTGAACGACTGCATCTTATTTGTGAATGATGTTGACGTGCGGGAGGTGACACACAGCCAAGCTGTGGAGGCTCTCAAGGAGGCAGGTGCTATCGTCCGCCTCTACGTTCTCCGCAGAAAACCGGCGGCTGAGAAAGTCACAGAAATCAAACTCATCAAAGGGCCTAAAGGTACGTGGGAGTATGGATCGGTGTACTGCATCAACACTTTTGTGTGGGCTCGGGATGGCTTTTACCTGGCTAAACCGTGCCCTCTGGATTGAACAAACCTGCTCTGTGTTAACCCCTCTATCGCCCTCTCACTGCTCTGCCTCTTTCATTGCTTTCTTTTCCCAGGATTGGGTTTCAGCATCGCTGGAGGGGTGGGAAACCAGCACATACCAGGAGATAACAGTATCTATGTCACCAAGATTATTGAAGGCGGAGCGGCTCATAAAGATGGACGTCTGCAGATCGGGGACAAGATCTTAGCGGTCAGTCAATCATATGTAATCACTTCCAGCACACAAAGATATGTGCCCACACACACACACATGCGTCACTGACAACCTCAGACTCTCGCCTCTGAAGCACACACACACATTGTCAAACACACTCACACATTTGTGTACATAAGCAGCAGTGAAGTATCGAGAGCCTGTATAAATTAGGGCTGTTATTCTCATGTCATGAATTAACATGTGAATAGACGTGTGGGCTGGAATAAATGTGAACTGTGGTGTAGCTGCAATGAAACACAAGCAGCACTACTGCCATCTGCTGGAGAACAGGGAGACTGTAACATAGCAGCTGATGACAAGCTCAACACCAGGAACTTCAAAATGGTGCTTGGTTTTGATTAAATGGTGTCTGGGCTAATTAATGCTTTGCCTCTGAATGGCATATATAGCAACATGCTTCTGCTTATTATGAAACTGTTTCCAAAATACAATTACAATCAGTGATTGTATACATTTATTAGCAAAAATGCTAATAAGATGACAGTAGTAGAACATATCACATGGTTTTAGTGCATCTGATCTTTACAGGAAACCACCAGCTCACTATTTAAAACAGATATAATGGATTACAGTAATAAATTGTGTTGTATGGTGACTTGAACTGTGATTCTGTAGTTTGACGATCGTTCTATTAATCTATTTATCAGAAGAGTACTGCATTTATGATATATTTAGTTGATCATTTTGGATAATACCACCAAATAGTTGAGGCTTCTTGAAGGAGCATTAAAATTTTATTGTTCCTCCCAGCTCCTCCATTGTATGAATGTCTGTACAAATGGGTGAATGTGACTTGTAGTGTCAATAGCTTTGAGTGGTCAATAAGAGAGGATAGGTGCTATAGAAATACAGTCCATTTACAGTCAGGTCATCACTATAGATGTGATTGTTCTAAAGAAGGGCGACTGTCATGAATGCAAATATGGGGGATTCGGTGTTTCTCTGGTTCTTAGTACAGCTGCCATCTGTTGAGTGACGCTGACTTTGTTTCGCTGCTTGCTGCTAACAATCAGGTGAACAACGTGTGTCTGGAGGATGTGATGCATGAGGATGCGGTGGGGGCTCTGAAGAACACAGCCGAGGTGGTGTACCTCAGGGTGGCCAAGCCCAACAACCTGTTCTTGACCAACTCCTACAACCCTCCAGACCTCACCAGCAGTAAGCCCCTCTCCTGACACACCGGCTTGCACAGCTATGAAATCAGATCTGAAAACTTAATGTCCTGCCTTTCAATAAAATGATTTCCAAGAACAAAATGTGAGAGATTTGTTCATATTTGAACCAATAGTCAATGATAGTTGAGGGAAAACTCTGTTTTTGTTACATCACTGGAGATGACGGTGGTACTACTATGAAAATTAAAAGCTCATGTTTACTGGTTCAGGGGCGTTTTCTTGTTTTCCTTTGACCTGAATCCACCTCTTGATGAAAAACTATTTAAAACAAACAAAAACTGCAATAGACCTTTCGCAACATAATAGACAAAAAAATGTTCCTACTACACATAAAATATATCACATTACACAAATGCATTTACTCAGTGGAGAAGCCAAACAGCCCAAAGTCTCAACTTCTATTTTAGCTGATATTGCATATCTGTGTACAGCACCCCTCTGGAATATTATACATCTTTTTGTGTGCTATTCTTCCAGCATATTCCCATATGGATACTGAACTCAGCCACCCCAACTATCTTGGCTCAGATTACCCACAAGCTCTCACTCCCACCTCACCTAGTCGGTTTTCTCCTGTTCTGCACGGCATGATGGGAGATGATGACATCCCCAGGTGAGTAATGATCCATTGACTTATTCTCATGTACACAGGTTATTATTAGTAGTATTTGCAGCAGAGGGGGTGTGATTAACAATCATTTTTTATATACTCTTTTATTGACACTATATGTCTCCGTCTTAATCAGGGAGCCTCGCAGAGTTCTGATCCATCGAGGCTCCACAGGTCTGGGATTCAACATTGTTGGGGGCGAGGATGGAGAGGGAATCTTTATCTCTTTCATCCTGGCAGGAGGGCCAGCGGACCTCAGCGGAGAGCTGCACAAGGGCGATCAGATCCTCAGTGTAAAGACACTTATCTTCATAAAGTTGTCACGCAGCACATTTACATTTGGCACTGAGTGATTTTGTTCCTGTTGTAGCCGTTAACAGTCATGCTGTGTGTGTGTGCATCAGGTGAACGGCGTGGACCTGCGCATGGCGACACATGAACAGGCAGCTGCAGCGCTGAAGAACGCAGGCCAGACAGTGACCATCATCGCTCAGTATCGGCCCGATGGTACAGCCACAACTGTCATACATAACAACTACCATCATGCAAAGATTCTCACATACATACTGAATCATGAGAAATTTAGACTTAAACTTTTCACTTTAAATTAGTCACAAAATTCCAAATCAGCGACCACTTCTTCCACAGATTGAGAGAGTTATTTAAAAACTATAGCAAAGAGTTTCTTTGTACTTGTTTGTTTCTGTGCACAATATTTCAAAACCAACAACCAAGAGATAAAGAAGAAATGTAGAAAATAAGCAAAGTAGTGAGCTAGAATTAGTATTTAAAAAATTCTATTGGAAACAAAATGAAGTCCACTATGATCAGTTACATTCACTCAGCCAAGGCTTGGCCACGAACAAAGCTTTTAGTGCTGTAACACTTTTTGGCCGTAAGTGGCTTAGAGAGAGATAGAGAGATTATACTATTACATAAGTTGGATGGATGCATCTTCATTAGTTACAAATCAAACCTTTCTTGTGTCAGTGTAAAACAAAAGCTCCTCATGTGTTTGTATTTCTGTTTCAGAGTACAGCCGCTTTGAAGCAAAGATCCATGACTTGAGGGAACAGCTGATGAACAGCAGCATGGGCTCGGGGACTACAACGCTAAGGAGCAACCCAAAGAGAGGCTTCTACATCAGGTCTGACACTTACAGTAGAAACAGAAGCTTAGGTACATGACACCCATACGTGAAACTGTGAGATTCGAACCCTTCTACTTCCATAAAGCAGAGATCCATCTATTTACTGCTCAAACTAGATTAAGCATGAATCCTAATAAAAACACCGTACCCAGTGTTAGGGATGGGCAATGAAACAACATCGATAATTATGGCAACACAATTTTCATTAATAGCTTTATACCAGTGGTTCAATATATATCAACACAGATAGTGTAAGAGGAGGTGAAACAATTGATCGAGCTCAGATTTGTAAAAGAGCAAAGATCATTCTTCAAACTTCAGAGAAATAATAATGTGGCTCTCGACTGACACGAAAAACTGTAAAAAAAACACTTGTATCCCATGGACTTGCTGTATATGCTAGTTCAAAACTCGTACATGTGCAGCATCAAACATTCAACACTAGCTGCCACATTTCCTGACCAGAAAACGCCAAATTGCTTGAAAGTTGATCCCATGCACATCAAACTTGTGCAGCCAGTGGTGTGAATACAAGTCAGACAGACTGTTGAGAGCTCATGACTGTTTCAAACCAGGAGCAGTCACATCAGACCAACAGAAGGTGACAGCAGTAAGTGAAGTTGATAGAGAAAGGACGTTCTTGATAAACACAATCAACCAGGTGACAGAGAAAAGGCCAGATTCCAGATGTCAAACCAAACTCCACACTGCGCTGAAGACATGAGAACGCGGTCTTACCCTGAGATGAACTTCTTGTGATTTCCGGTGTGAGTGGAGTCAATGGCCGCCGCAGGGTCCGGATATTGTCTGCATCTCTCAGGTTGCGTCCAATTAGCTTGAAGCAGCATCATGACTTTCAGCGCTTCCTCCTCATGGTCCGTGTGAGTCCACGGTGAAGAAATGTGTTTGAACAGTAGTTCGCCCATAAGAACTCCCTCCATGTTCAAGACGAGCTTCTCCCGCGTCCGTCTGGTTTTTGTGCAGAATCAGGGAGAGACAACGCGAGCGTGTTTGTTGATAAGAAGCTGTGTTACCCGCCGCTTGAAAATACTCCCGCGACTTTTACGCAACGTGCGTAACCGCGGCTTCGCCTGACTATGGCCTGGACGCGTCATACGTTCACGTGATTACTTTTATTTACCTTCCGCTCGGGGTCCTGTCGAACCTACAGGTGTTCAGTCGTTTTATAGGAAGTGGTTTATCACATTATCTATTCGGAAATTGCACTAAGTAATTAAGTTAAACTGAAATATATATTTTAAAAAAATCATAATACCAACATGGTGGAGATTTTCTTGCACACCTTTTTCCATTTGTTGAACCATGTGAAGGTAAAACACAAAACAATATGGTTTAAAATTAAACCATTTCAAGACAAAACTAAATTACAAAACACAGGGATACTATGTAGCAAGCAGTAGAATTAAAGACAAATATCGAAGGCTTTATACTAAAAGTTTAATCATAGAATGATATTGTTTTCCTCTTCTTCAATCCATGCATTGTTTCAAAATAGTGTCTGATTTCTATTTTGAATTGTTGTATGTGTGGTTTCTTTTTAGTCCAGTTGCATTTGTGAGTGTTGAATTTCCCACACAGGATGTAAAGGTTCAAAATTATTTATTGTCTTATTTTTTTACTATCAATCTCATTCTTATCATCAAAAAATATAATGACTCTTCAGTTTGTTAAAGAAATATTCCACATAATATTTTAGAGGTTTGTCTTCATCTGTATTATGATGGTTGGAAGAAACACAAACTCACTGAAAAAAATAGAAGTGATGAAAATGCACATTGAATAAAAAATGGAGTGGTAAATGTGAATTTGAAATTAAAGATTGAGAGATAGATTATCGAGTGATTTGATTATTTTAAATGAAATTTGAATAAAACTGAGATGTCAGATGAAAACAGAACCATGTATCATCATTTTACGTTCATTATTTATCCTTCACAACACAAAATTGCCATTCATCATCTAAGCCAAGTAGCCTCAGGGATGGAAGTAATAAAAAATAACCAAAATAAATGGAGGTGGTGGAAATGCTTCCACATTCATAATGGAGGTGATGAAAAAATCGGAGATATATTGTTATTTGATTTGATAAACTTCATCATGTTCCTTCAGTTTTCTCCCTGCTAATATATCTTTTTTCTAGTGTAGCCTTCCTGTTTGCCTCAAAATGAACATAAAACGTGGGTTCAATACTGTAACAAGGTTACAGGTGTTACAGTGCACACCCAGACTGTTTCATTTGTTGGAGCATTCAAAAATATGACATATTGTATTTGGATATTTCTTTAAAAAAATGATAATGATGATGATGATGATGATGATGATAATGATGATGGGGACCAAACTGTGGGACTGGTGTTTGAGGGGTTACATAGTTTTCTTTCCTATGAAGTGACTGATTCCCATTATTTCATCACTCAGGGCTCTTTTTGACTATGACAAGACTGCAGACTGTGGCTTCCTCAGTCAAGCACTGGGCTTCAAGTTCGGGGATGTGCTGCATGTGCTGGACTGTGGGGATGAGGAGTGGTGGCAGGCCCGTAAAGTCAGCCCCCAGAATGAGGCTGAGGAGGTTGGCTTCATCCCCAGCAAGCACAGGTCAGACACACTGAACAATTACTAAACACCGTGACTAAACCCAACGAGCCTGCACATATCCAAGGTTTTATGTTTGTTAGCAAATGACAGTGATTTATGGTCAATCTTAGTTAGTTTATAATTTTTAGCTTGATTGTTAATATATTTGAACAAAATTATATATTTTTTAATTCTCATAGCCCTGATCATTTGTGATAAATGTGATATTGCTCAACCAAGTCCATCTTTCTCATCTTATTAGCCTTATGACTGCAAACTATGTCGTACTGTGTTCTATGTTTTGAGAACTTATGTGTTTTATTTTTGCGTACTTATATGTTCTGTCTACTTAAATGTTTACACCTGGGATCAGAGAAAAACAGCATTTCAACCCCGTCCATTTCCTGTACATATGGCAGGAAAAGTGGACGTTGACTTTAACTTTGACTTAGATCTTTTTCTCTCTTAATGTTTTCGTTTTTCCCCCTCGTCTCAACAGGGTGGAAAGAAAAGAGTGGTCTCGTGCTAACACCAAAGAGAGGGTGAGTTTATTCTCCAGAGTCTGACATAGGCCTTTTCTCTCAAACTGTGTGTGTGTAAATCTCTGCTTTTGTTTCTGTTGCAGGACCACGGTCGAGACAGTTTGGGCCCTCAAGGTAATTATGGATGTTCTCTACATTTACTCTGCAAGCTGCCATTCACACATTTTGACTTTCTCTCTTATTTTTATAAACATAATACACATGTTCACATTCTGCAGGCTGCTGATTTGTGTATCCATCACTAGATTAATACCTCGATTGAAGGTGCTAGAAGCATCGCCAAATGTAAATGTGTAAAACTGTCAATAACTGCAGACTCAGAGCAGTCCTTTCTCTACAACAACACTGCTCTTTGGCTTCGCTGTCATCTTTAAATACCTCACTGCTAACGTCACAGATGCTGCCAAATATAAACACAAGCAATCTTTATTCCCACTTTCCTCCAGACTGTGTTCTAAAGCACACTGCACCTTCAACATAGGCAGGAATTTTTTTTCCGTCAGTGGTGCCATGTGATGTATTAGCTCCAGCATTTTAAAGCAACACATTGCAAGATTCGCTCACGGCTACACTCAGGCTCCCCCTGCAGGTGGGATATGTAACTGTGATAAATATGTGCTGATGTTGAAATACACATGTATTTGTTGAGAAACCAACAACCAGCACAAGATACAGCAAACAAGCAAAAGCTACAACTTACTTGTCCTATAGCAACACCAGGTCAGCATCTGTCCTGCATCCTTTGGTGTTTAAGCTCTAGCCAACGTGTCACTCATCTTCCGTTTCTTGCTCAGTCACTTTCTCTTTTCTTTTTCTTCGCTTCCTCTGAAAACCCCGTACTGTAGCTCTGCCGTGATTTCTAAACTGAGAATTGTGAGCTAGTTGTCGCTTGTAGCTGCTCGCTTCACCTCTGGTTCTTGGTGTGTGACGTATGCCGTAATGTTACAGCACACTACGCAAGAGTTACATTGTGCAGTTGCAGGCATCAAGGGAGCGCTTTAAAAGTTTGTGTACCAAAATGATGGCTGTTGTTTAAAGGTATATATCTACATTGTGTCGCTGTAAAACACACCACCGTCATGAAATCTAAGTACAAACACAGATGCACACAAAGCTATAAATTAATGTAATTTCATAATGGTTAAAAGAAAGTTGGCTGAATGCATCTGTGCTCTGTCTCCAGGGAGAGATAAAACATCACAGAGTTATGAGACAGTCACCCAAGTGGAAGGTAACATTAACAAGAAAGCTAATTCTTTAAGCCTTTGATATGAAATTGCCATTTTCTGAACACTCCCCCTTTCTTTCTCCTCATGCTAAGTTCATTACGCAAGGCCCATCATCATTCTGGGTCCTGTGAAGGACAGGATAAATGATGACCTGTTGTCTGAGTTCCCTGATAAGTTTGGATCTTGTGTCCCACGTAAGTAATTATGCCGTCAGTCACAGAGACTGATTCACTAATTCTCTGCCCATAATATGATGTCAGTGCTGCCACCTGCATCCATTTTAGGGTTATATCTGATAAAGTGTCCCCTTATCAGAGAAATAATAGCTTTAATTTTGAGATTCTAAGTGATGAAAGCGTATGCACTGCTTTTACAGCTTACTGTTCTTTGCTCGATAGACACCACGCGGCCCAAGAGAGAGTATGAGGTGGATGGGAGGGACTATCACTTTGTGTCGTCGCGGGAACAGATGGAGAAGGACATTCAGAGCCATCGGTTCATCGAGGCCGGCCAGTACAACAGTCACCTGTATGGCACCAGTGTCCAGAGTGTCCGTGAGGTGGCTGAGCAGGTGTGAAACAAAAATGAATAGCAAGACGTAACATTTTATTCATTGTTTTCCCATGTTGTCATTGGTTTAATGAGTTCCACTATTTGCTAAACAAAATAACTTGCATTGCAATTATAGGATCACATAAATGTTAAATTTGACGAATCTACTGATGATCAAAAACAACTTTGATTTCCATTGTGGGTATAAAATGTTTTATCATCATCATGAAGAACAAAAATAAAAAGGTTTGAGTAATTTGCAGAAACCTCCCGTTGCTTGTTTCCTAATTAACTGGCAGTTTGAAGTAACTGAAATATCAGTGTGTGTTTATTAATCCTCATTACTTCTCACTCTGCACATGTGCACAAGCAGCAGGGGAAACACTGCATCCTGGATGTATCGGCCAACGCTGTGCGCAGACTACAAGCAGCTCAGCTTCATCCCATCGCTATCTTCGTACGGCCCAAGACGCTGGAGAACGTCCTGTAAGTTCTTTACAGAGTTTTTGAGAATATTCATGAATAAATGGTCAAACTGTATATGTGGTATGTGGACAATTTTTGAAGAGCGATTGATTGATTGATTTTTGTGTTGTTAACAGAGAGATCAATACTCGCCTGACAGAGGAGCAGGCCAGGAAAGGAATGGACCGAGCCCTAAAACTAGAACAAGACTTTCTAGAGTGTTTTTCAGGTGAGCACCTGCAGAAATGCTGTGTATACAAGGTGACACTACTCTGTTAACACTCTTTGCACAGTCACACAGTGGGTTAGCGTTTGGAATGTAACAGCACCAGATGGTAAACGTGAGCTTGTACACCTGCAATCTCAGAGCCCACAATCTGATGACGAATCAGCCTCTGGGGGAAACGGCCAATATGTCGGGGCTTCAGGTGTAGACAGTGGATATATGAGGCCAAGACTCCATCTTCCATTTGCCGTTAACGGTCCAACAACTTTCATTTATCACATGAATCCAAACCAATCGAACAACTCTCAACACAAAACACAAACAGCGATACTTTTTGTAGGTGTATGTTCCAGGCTTCAACAACTATCTAAATATGAATATGTATAAATTAAAAAGCATTATATATTATCAGTTCATTACAGCTGCTCAAACTTCACAAGTAAAGAATATATGTGTTTCACAAATGCAAATGAATAACATGCCTCCTCCACATGGATGAACTCCACATTTACATATTCCTTCTATTGCTGAAGGAGTTAAACGGGAAAATGAATGTGTTCCTGGCGGACTCTGGGACTTTTTAAAATTTAAGAGACACATTTAGGGCAAATCACAGCAGTCGCCAGAAAATGAACACTAGCTTTTTTATGACAAATCCAGCACAGAAATCATGAACAGCTGCCATGTGTGACATTTTATCAGCCACTAAAAGAAAACCTGTGAGACGGAGTAAATGTGTGAGACACTTTGTAGGCATACATGCATGATGGGAATGTGCCTTTTGTATAACATTGAGATTTTGCACAATACTGATGTGCACAGATGATCAAAGTGAATATTCATTATGTATCTTAACTGATGATTCCTCGCAACGTCTTGCAAACACATCTGATAAACTTCCCTCTCTTTCTGCCCCCCTCCCCTCTTCCTGAATGTTTCCTGCTGTCTCTCTTTTCTCTTTGTTTTGTCACTGCCTGTGCCGTTGTTTTCCCTCCGCTCCTCTTTTGTTGTCTCTCCCTCCCCGACACATCCTGCTGCAGCTGTCGTGGAAGGGGACAGCTTTGAAGAGGTCTATCACAAAGTAAAGACAGTGATCGAGGAGCAATCAGGGCCTTACATCTGGATCCCCACTCGGGAGAGGCTGTGATGCTGCACCCCCGCCCCGCCCCACCCCACCCTGCCCGACAGGCCTTCCCTCACCAACCACCGACCTGACACCACCCTTCACCCTCACAGCCAAGCCAGCCTCGCCTGCCTGTCTGTCCTCCAGCAAAGTCAGTGCTTAGGCAATCACTGAGAATGACACAGAGAGACAAATGCATACTAAGACAAACACAGAAATAGAGACAAACACAGGAAGTGACACATCGAGGCAAAGAACGATACCAAAAAAGAGACTCTGAGACAGACGTGAACACAGCTATGTGTTGTTCGACAGAGAAAAGACTAAATCAGTATTTAATGAGGTACGACTGAGTCTTGACGTCCTGTTTCACATTTAGCATTAAAATGCATCTTGGTACAGCTGTGCTGGGGATGTAAATATCCTCAACAAGGTTTATTTAGCGATACCAAACAATTTTAGTGTGTTTTTTTCTCTTTCAATACATTTTAAAATCAAATATGAATCAAATTATATCATCACAGCTTAAGAGATTTCTGATGCATTTTGATGCCATTTGTGAGCTGCAGTTCATGTCATCTGCATCTATACACGATACACCTGCTGGACACGCAGGACATTAGGTCTGAGCAGGGCTTGAAAGAGAGTAGAGGGTGACGCAGCAGGGACGGACACCGAGGTTGTATTAGCACCACCTCAACCTCCCCATCCCTCGGATGTCTCATGCTGAAAACCTCCACGCGCCTATGTCTGAGATGAAGGTGCCCCAAAAAGACTCTGGCCCCTCTTTTTATATCAGCTCCTGGCTTCTCTCCTCCTCCTCCTGTCAGCTCTGCCTTGTTTCACGACAGGAGAGGGGGACGACTGAGAACAGGAATCTCCTCTTGGATTTGGGCGTGAACTCAGAATTTCACAGTAGTGACCAAGACTGACACGTGCTCAGTCACCCATGTTTAATATAGCAAGGCATTATTTAAAGAGCAGTTCAAATAATTATAATGATAAAAACTCATATGCTGAATTTGTGCATGCATCCTCAAAGACAATGGAGACAGGAGATGAAAACAATGGAAAAATCTGACAAAAAAAAAAAGTGGTAAAAAGAAAGGCGAGTAAATAGGCTGTGTTCTTCTTAACCACCTCCTATTGTGGAGGAGTTTTTTAAGCATGTCTCAAGAAAGAAGAAGAGTGACAAGGTCATGAGACATGGTCATGATGGGCCAGTCCTGAGCACAGTAGAAGCTCTGACATCCAGTTTAGCCTCTGCTCTCTTATGCACACACACTCAACGCACCAACATGCTATCACACACACACACACACACACATACACACTTGTCCACCGACACACACACACACACACACAGAGTTGTAACCTCAGCTGTAACCTAGCACACTCCTCTACAGGGGGAATGGCTGTTCTGACCTGCTAGTCAGAATCTAGGATGAATGTTATCTCTCTAGGCACAAACAGCAGAGCTGTTAGCTTCATCGCACCACAGCCAACTCACCAATCACTCTTCCAAAAGAATCCCTCAGCCGCAGACGTACACACTGTTTCCAGTGGCCGCAGTAAAAGCCATGGCGTGTGCATGTGTGTGTCTGTGAGAGCTGGTGCGGGCGTGTATGTGTATGTGCGTGTGCGTCTGTGTGTATGTGTGTGCATCTGTGCACATTAATGTGTGGAAACTCCTCTGTGTGGGAGGAATAGGTCTTCTTTTATTCTCTCTTCCACTTTTTCCTCTGCTTCTTTCTCTCTCTCGTGTCCACACAAAATAAAAGCTAAGTCATGTTTAACAAATAAATGGCCTATATATATAAATATAAATATAAATATATATATATATATATCTTTTTTATGACAATTTCTAACGTGACTAAGTCTGTAAAAATCAACATCTACAAACAATATTCCATTGATTTCTTTGGGTAATATTGCTATTGTTTGGTTGTTGGATTTACTCACGTTCCCATTTTAACACAGCAAAGAGAAATAAGTGAAGCACTCAGTCCAGTGGATGAAAAGCAGACCTCACTCCAGAGCCTTGAGCTGACATATCTGACATGTTCTGGTGTACGTTGACAACGAATTGAGACACATTTACAATGCAGCTGTGTGTGTGTGTGTGTGTGTGTGTGCAACTGTGTGTGTGCATTTGTGTGTTTGCTGCTTGAGTGTGTGGTTGACAAGAAAGCTTGTGTGTTATGTACACAGTATATAACTGATACCATATGAGAAATATCTATCCTTTATAACATCCACATGGTGGTTATAATGTATAATGCATAAATAGATGGTGTGTGTGTGTGTGTGTGTGTGTGTGTGTGTGTGTGTGTGTGTGTGTGTGTGTGTGTGTGTGTGCCAAAACGAGAGAGTGAGACACGCACATGAAGATGTACTGCAATACTGCTATGATGTTATGCAATGAAGATGGTTTATACATGTGTCTAAGATTATAAAGAGTATTTATGAAGTTTGCACTGACGGCATTATATGCTACAGGTATCTGCAGGAAAAAGATGGTGACGGGAAAACAAAGGGACTCTGAGGTTTTATGAGCATGTGTTTGTATTTACTCATAATTGGTCCTGAATTATAAGAGTGAAGGTGGAAGTGTCGATGGAAGTAACCGTATTCATATTTATTGTTTGTTTATTTCTTTGCTTCTCTCAGCTGAGGCCTGTTAACGACAGGCTTTCTGTTTATGTTCATGGTTTATTATTCATCTAGAACTGTTGCTGGTTCCATCTCAAGGGTCTGTGTATTTTATGTATTTTATTTAATTTTTTTACACATTGAGAGAGCTATTTGGGTCTCGGCCAGAAATGCTGTAAATATAATAGGTATGTTGGAGTGTGGCTTCAGCACACTGCTGAATCAATGCAGATACAGAGTCCATCCGAGCCACAGCCCAGTTTATCTGCTCAAACACACACACACACACACACACAAATACACACACACACACACACACACACACACACACACACACACACACACACATATCAGCACGTCCACACATCCATTTACATTTACACACTGAGAGAATCACAGAAACGACAACACACGACGAAACATCCATGAATGGAATAATATGTTTTCTTTCTTTGAACGGTTCAATGTATTTCTTAATATCTCTCTCAGCCATCCGTATCATAGTGTGATATTCCTTATAAAAATATATGACTTTTTACAGAAAAGACTGATTACGAACTTACACAGAGACAACTGATGCAGAAAAATATATTTAACAATGACAAATATCAAGCAAAATAAAATGTTCCAGTTCAGTGAAGCGCTTGTTGTAAATTAGCTATAAAATAATAAAATGAATTTAAAAATGCTTTCTGAAAGTGGACTCAGCAGTCTTGTTTTTGTTTCGTCTGTGGTGTTGATTTCATGTAGCTCCACAGTGGAGACTGCAGGAGAAGAGCAGTACGACCAGGGGAGGGCGCTCTCTCTCTCTCTCTCTCTCTCTCTCTCTCTCTCTCTTCAAGCTCCAGACTCTTACACAAGCTGCTCTCAGCTGCACACATACTTGCTCTGGCTTTTATTTGCTGCTCACTCCCCCCACCTCTCCTGCTCTCATCAGGGGGAACCATTTTCTCCTTAGAAAAACACACAGTGAGGATCCTTTCTATTTGATTTCATATCATGCTATTGTGCGTGTGTTTATGTCAACATGAAGATATTGTGGACGTGTGCATGGCTGACATGATTCTATACCTCTGTAATAAAATGAAAATATAAGGTTGATCCAACTACCACACACACATAAGATCAAACTTCATTAATGCTCAGAAATCTGCATCTAATTTGCCATATTCAGTTCAATTATATTTGTATAGCGCCAAATCAAAACACACAAGGCAGAATTTATAAACTTACAGAGGAACCCATCAGAGTGCAGGAGTGCAGGAACTGCTGAACTCTGTTGTGCCGTTTGGTTACAGTTCTTTCATTATAAGGGGACATCATGGTGATGCGGTGGTTAGCCCTGTCGCCTCACAGCATGAGGGTTCCCTGTTTGAATCCCGGTTCAGCTTCTTTCTGTGTGGAGTTTGCATGTTCTCCCCATGTTTGCATTTTCTCTGGGTATTCCAGCTTAATTGAAAACTAAATTGATGGTGTAATTGGCTGTTTGTTGTTGTTGTATGTTGGCCCTCCGGTATGCTGACGACCTGTCCATGGTGCACCCAGTCTCAGGGATTGGTTCTAGCTTCCCCTTCGATCCTCAAAGGATAAGCCTGATGGATGGATGGATTATTGAGCATGAGCAAAGGGATTTTGTGCAAACTACTTCTTCGATTTTATACAGTTATAGAATTAGTTATTGGTCCTATGAATTTAAATTACATTAACACTAAAGGCCACAGAGAAAAACCAGACAAGCTGTTACTCACTAACAGCTGTTGCACCTGTTTGAATGGCGCAGATGTTAAAAAAAGATAAGGAGCCTTGGAATGAGATTTTTTTCCCAGCTCAAACATAGTTAAGGGGGAAAATGTGTGTGGAGGTAAAATATTAATCTCATCTAATCTAATTCTTAACCACTCATCTTGTTCAGGGTCATTGTGAGGCTGTGGTGTTTCACTCTGAAAATTCAAACCATCAATCACCTGTTTGACCACAGCCTGGTTGCTGCTGTATTATTTCAGATGAAAGTGATGTGAAGGATCAGACAGAGAGAAGGGAGAACATCCATCACAGAACAGAAACAGGATTTTAACCTGCAAACTGCTAATGCCTCGCAGCCATCGGGTTCCTCCTGTCTGCATGTTCCTGTTATCCTCCTCTGAGCCGCGAACAAGAGTCTGTGTGCTGTACACCAGGGTGATGTAGCCACTCACAAACTGGTGGAAGAATGCAGAGTTGGATCCCAGAGCGAGACAGAAAATTTGACAAAGTGACGTGGTTTCTTTAAATTCCCTCGTGATTAAATAAGTGACTCACTGGATAAACTCTCCCCTTTATCATGGCAGTGATTCATGTGTTGAAAACCCTGTATTTCACAAAAACAATCCATTGCACACATCCTGTATACGAGGACCAATGAATGAAGGATTGCCTCTGTAAGAGTCAATTAAATCAAGCCAGTGCTGACAACCAAATGTATCAGTTAGGAATAAGAAATTAGGAGAATTGCACTGAGTAGAGTGCGTATCCCTGGGTCCCCTTGGGAAATTACATGTAAATTCACTAGATCGAGATGTTTACTTGAAGATCCACCAGTTATTCCCTGAGAAATTAGGGAAAATGTTGAAAAACAGCGACTTACAATGTAAAAGAATCCGGATCCACACAAAAATGTTATGGGTTCTTCTTTGACCCATACAACATCCTTCCACCCATTTTTTGCGTAATCTTACAAACCAACAAAAAACAAAAGGACAAGGGTGAAAGCGTAACTACCTTGGTGGTGAAATTAGAAGGACAATTCTCAATTCAATGTCTCAACTCTTGCACGGATCAGGATGATTGTCAAGTTGCAAGTATTACCAGCGATTGTTCACAGCCTCCTTGACAACAGGCTGGTGATGGAGTGATGCCTCGTTCTGCCTGCTGCTGGGGTCCAGAGCTGCAGTGACAGGCGGGGATTTAGATGAAAAGAACAGCTGACATGTGTGCCATGCGCGTGTTGAAGGGGAGACTCAACCGAGAATTATCTCAAAGCATTCAAAGAAACTCATACACTTTGGATATACTGCCTGGGAGAAGCAGTGAGGCATTACAGCACAACACAAACCCTTCACACAACTCAAAGCCAATATTACCAGTGGACCTGAGGGGTCTTGAGTTGTTCCAAGCATCAGTCATCCCTTAACATTTCGTCCTGAGTCGCAGTACACAGCCCTCAACATGATCACTTTAAGTGCTGAGGCCTTCTCAAAGTAGAGGTGCTAACATGGGTTATATGTAACATTTCCAATTCCTCCAATCAGGGACAAGTTAGAAATCACCAGATTCAATCTATACATGCTGGGTTTAGTCCTTGTTACACATAATAAGTGAGAGGTCATTCATTCTAATGGAAAACACTTGTTTTGAGGTAAGTGTTTTTCTTTTAACCTTGCATTTCCTGCTTTGTAGTTAAACTCATCAAATTCAGTCTATAAAGATATCTTTTAGTTTTTTGTGCTAATGCTTTTTGCACACAAACATCTTTCCACACACATTTTAATTCATTGCACCTGCAAATTGTCTCTATCTTTCCATTGCATGAGCTGTCAGATGTGTGTGTCTATATTCTCCTGCACAGACTTAATTATTTGGTCAAGGTAATCCTGAGAATCCAGGATGATTACACAGCGGACATTTTCAGTTTCCAAAAAAGGAAAAAAAGCAACAGACACTGTTAGTCTTCGACTTTACCGAGACGTTTCAATCAGTCTACCCAACACTGGCTCCACACAGGAGGTTGTCAGCACCATTTGTTACCTTCATTACAACATGACAGCTACAGCCCGGAGAAGAGGATCAAACACAGATACTTCCATGTTCATGTTTTATTATTCATTTCAGCCTGCTGCATCTTCATCTCTGCCCCTCTCCATCCCCTCCTCTCGCTCTCTCGCTCATCAGGTCATAGCCGGTTCCCCTCAAACTGTTTGTGAAGGACATCTCGAATTCACCTCTCTTGTTTACATCTCGCGCTTTGTTAGTAAATCCAGATGATGTCAGTCTAGCAACTTCCCCTACTCTTTTTTTATCCACATATCACACTGGAGATTAGAGGCTTCATCTTCAGGGAGGTGAACGGCAGGGTGTGGTGCAGGGTTTTTGCCGTTAAGATGCTCCTTTGTGCCAGTTAGAAAAGAAGTGCCTTCTTTAGTTTACAGCCCGAGATAATACAGACTCCTGTGGTTTGGTGCCAAAGCTCTCAGTTTGAAATCGGATTAATCCTAATGGGTTCTGCTGTCTTTTCCCTGACTCTTATAAGCAATTATTAAAAGCACCACACTGCAGCCAACGCTACCAAAAAAGACATCTGCATGAGATGGATTGAGGAAGTTGTTTTAACATGTTCACCTCTGTGGAAAAATGTCAACTCCACACCCATTCTGCTCATTAAAAGATGGCACACTGGCTTCAAAGGAGAGTTACCTTCTGCGGGTAAAATCTAACAACCTTGAAATGAATTGAAAATAAGAAAGACATCAGGTTTTTCTGTTTCGCAATCCAAGAGTATGACATCATTTTTTAAACGCTGCCTTCTGGTGTCACTTTTAAAGCTGCAGGGGCAGAGCTTAACCCGAGAGGGCTTAAAATGTCACCCACGCCAAATGCACACTTTCATTTTTTGAAGCAGCGATGATAACTCATGATCCCAAAAATTAGCATGACTGCAGGCAGAATATACCAGTGTCATTTTGAATGTGCCAGAAAAAATACCACAGACACTTTTACTATAACCAGTTAAATGCTTCTGGAAGGGAACAGATAGTGCCAATGTTCAGTCTTTGGAGGACACTGGAGTCAAAAAAAGAAAATGTCCATTTGGTGATTTTCTGTAATGTAATGTAATGAAAGAAAGAAGCTCCTGCCCACACTGATGGATAAAGAAAATGTTTTTGCTGTTAAGCTCATTGCTTCCGTCTTGTGCCATTACAGGCTGTTATGGGTCCATATGGGTGCACTTCTCATTGTGTAGCTGCATTTTCGAGGCACAGTTACTTCAATGCACCATGTAAAGAATTTAATGTACAAACTCTAATGGAATGGCTAACACTAAGGTAGAGCGGGTGGGCCACTGATTGCACAGCAATTGATGGTTCAATCTGCGGCTCATCAAGCCTCTCAGCAAAACTCTCCATGCCACACTATCACAAAATGTGGATTTGTGGGGAAAAAGCCTGAGTCTTCAACCATGCTGACATCTAAGGCTGTACTCATACTCAGTGGTTGCATTGAGGTAGATGCTATGCAATGTTTTTAGCCTAAATATCCGTTAGATCCACTCACAAACGTGGCCCCAGAGGAGGATAACAGGACATTTAGACTAAAATCATGGTGTAAATGATGCTGTTCCGAGTTGAATTTAAATGTTGGTGCTTACAGACACTGAGATGACACCAGAGGAGCAGTATGGAGGCATTTTATATATTTTTCTGTCGTGTTTTTTTTACATTTGAAGACGTGGTCACCATTTACTTCAATTGTAAGATAAGATAAGATTAGATAATCCTTTATCAGTCCCACAATGGGGAAAATTTGCTGGATTTGATTTGGCTGCAATGCTGTATATGCCAGAAACTCCAAAGGTGTTTTGTGGACTCAAACACTTAACCCACCCCTCCATCAACATAGTGGTGAGTATAGAAAATTAGTGAATTTTCATTTTTGGTCGAACTATTCTCTTAAATCATTTCTCAAACCAAGTCCATATTTTTCATGGAATTGTCACACATATAAAAATGCGTTGTGTCAATCGTGTTTACACATCGACTCCAAAACGTTCGTACCCTCTTGCAGACTTTCAGAGCTTTGCTTTGTGATGATCATTAAAACTGGGTCGACATTCAGGTGTCTGCAAAAATAAGCACAGGTGTGAACAAAGTCGCTGAAGAACAATCTGGTAGTTCACTCTGATCTCAAAGCTCCTCCAAGAGGTTTCTACGAATTATAAACTCGACATGATGATAGAAAATTGAACGTCCCAAGGCCATTTATCAGTGTCGTTTGTTTCACAATTACATTCCTGGTGAAGCTCCCACTGCAGCTTCTGTCAGTGCTGGAAGTAAGAGTCTGATTAAAGCTTATGAAGAGGAATATCATGCACTGCGTACAGCAAATATGACAGCTTTGGTGAGCTGAGCACCCCTGAGCATCGCCCCTTACGCATGCTGTTTTGAGTGTCTATCCACTTATCTTACACACCAACATATGAACAAAAGAACAGAATGGAAAAGAAGACAGAACAGTGCAACAAGCCAAACTGCTCTTTCTGAGAACTGCTTGTACTGAGAACTGCTTGTACTTGTCTTTACTTCCGAAACAATTTTTACGATATATATAATATGTATACAAAGGGCAATACAGAATAAGAATAGATCTCGTTCTCTTGACTTCTGAAAACAAATTCTGGAGGATACAGCATTGCACCATTTGACGACATCAATAGCATGGATGAATTAAATGCAACGTGGAGTTTCACCCAATTATCCCGACAAAGACAGAAGAAAACAAGCAACACAAGTTGAAGCAAGCAAACAAGATACACTGGTCTCGCCTCTCAAAAATCAAACACTGGTCCGGCCTTGTTAGTGAGCATGAATTGCTAATTTCTTATTTACATTTAGTCATTTAGGCCTAAAATTTGCATTTCCTCTCATTTATGCTGCTGTCTTTCCCCCCGATCTTCTTCAAAAAGTGAATCCGTTCAATTTCCCTGGAGCAGTACACCCATTAATTAAATACGAAAACGGGCTGTTCCGCAACACTGATGTAATGAATCGGTAATGTTATGGCTTTCATTCACACAGTCCATGCAATGTTCTCGATGCTGCAGAAAAAATCATGCACAGTTCAGAGAGAGAAAGCAAGAGAGAGAGAGAGATGTCATAAAACGTGCATGTTTCTATATGGCTGGTGATGTGGCACAAATGCAAGAGAGCTAATTCTTTGTAATGAGGGTCAGAAATGCTAATTATGCAAACTGTATGAAAAATGAACGAACGCGGCAGCAACGTTGCATCATGAGTCAAGTGGTGTGTTATCTTTATTTTGCAGATTCCTGCTTCTTTGACCTCAGCTGGAGACCAAACACTATGTGTGTGTTTGTGGGTTTGTTTGTTTGTGTGTGTGTGTGTGTGTGTGTGTGTGTGTGTTTGTCAGAAGTAATCAGACTGGATCTTAAAGGCCTTCATTCTTAATGTGCTGCCCTGAGTCAACTTAAATGTTTAGTTATATCAGACATGTTTTAATTAAATGCATTTTCTGTTTGTCAGTATAATGCATAGATTTTAAATCTGCTTTGTTACTGGTTCAACACTGCAGGTTTTATCTTCAGGACGCTTTACGGGTTCAACATGCCAGTACTTGTACACAGCAGTCATTGTTATTTTCGAGTGAAGAAAAGTAGAAATAGTAATAGCTATCACCGGACGTTGGGTAGATCTCTTTTCAAAATAAAAGCATATTTTCTTCGCCTATGTGGAAAGAGGCCACTGAACTCCATTTGGCTGTACAGCAGTTTTATTTAAATGAGGATTAAATACTGGACAACTAACTTATCTGCAGGAGTATATATAATATGCACTGATATGGAGCTTTTGACCTTATATGACGAGTGTTTTTATTTTGATACATGCACACTGAGGTCTTCAATTATACATAGACAAGCACAAAAGCTGAAAATAATTTTATCACAGTGGCAGAAATGATTCCATGCAATAGTGTGGTATAGAAATTTCATGGGTGCCCATGTGTATATAATGTTTCCTGTACGGATACTGTATTATACACTTCATTCTGTTTTAATTTTGTTTTTTTCTGGATCTTTGCTGTAGGCCGATTTATTCTAAATAAATTGACTCTGAATAAAGTTTAAGACCAATGGTAATATTAAAACAGTAGACAGGTTATGGTGCTATGTGCAAGGGGCACAGACATATGAAAGGCTACCCACACTTCCAACTTAACAAGTGAAATAAAAGCAATTTTAAATAACTTCAAACAATACGGCTGCATGGTCTGTGATTAGTTTGCGCCTCTGAAGAAATGTAATTAGTTTTACATCTCAGTTTTGATGTGTCTGTGGCTGTTTTGTATGTTTTGCACTGCTACCCAGCCCACCAAGACCACCTCCTTCTTATGCTGCATGAACCATGATGGCCGGACCTAAACGAGAAGGTCTGGTCTACAGAGGATTTCTGTGATCGATGTTACCAGCTCATCCTGCCTTTTATTGCTGTTGCCTAGCAACAGAGCTGAAATCGGACATGACAAGAAATTTGTAATGCTCCTTGGTGCTCCTGATGCTCCTCTATGAAAAACGGTCCGTCACTAAAGCACAATTATTCCTTTGGTAGATTGAACCTGGAAGGATCCACCTGTGGGCGCCTTTGTTTTTAAGGAAGGAAGGACACATTTGTAGATCACAGTTGAGGGAGCCTTTGAAATGGCACAGCTATAGTCGTCAAAATCGGTCTCCAAATGCAGCCTCCGAAGGATGCAGCCCCTGAATTGAGACACAGCTATTTTATTCAGGATTGAGGTTTTACTTTGAAGGCGCTGTCCGGAAACGAAACTTCTTACCACGTGCTCTTGACTCTGCTGTTATGGCAACGGGAGTGGGCGGAGCTTGCCGGTGCCATTCGACTCCGGGGTGTGATGCGGGGATGAAGCGTCGGTGACCAGAGGCTCACAGGAGTCATCCCGCTCTCAGCCACCGCACCGCACCACCGGGAGTACCACCGTGCGTAAAACCTGCGCACGTCTCTGCTCTATCGTTCCTGTTAAACCAGGCCGGGGTTGACCTGGCGCGCTGCATCCCTCCACCTTTACTGGATATCTTCTGCTGTTATACCCCCGCAGCACAGAAACCTGGTCTTGTGCGGAGGAAGATGTGGAAGGAGGTGTGATTATGAGGACTATCGTGCGCTCTGCTCGGTGGATCCAACCTGCTCGGTCGTCCAGCTGAGGTGAAGGAGGGAGAGAGAGATTGGGGGAAAAGTCGTTTGGAGCTGAACCCCCCCCCCCCCTGAAGAAAGCGAGGACACAACAAGTTTGAGGCATGAGCCCCCACTGCTGACGGAGGAGTGAGGAGGAGGAGGTGCTTTGTTCCCCAACTCTTGTTTTCTGCCCAGACTTTTCCAACATAAATCTAAGTTGGACAACGCAGAGGAGAAGTTTCCGGAGAGTCAACAACAACAGTGCAGAGCCACTATCTACTGACAGCTGTGTGTGTGTGTGTTTCTGCTGCAGTGTTGTGGCTCCTCCACATGAACACTACAAGTCCAGTTTAAATGCGGACAAGTCTGCGGTCAGTGAGTGCGCAAAGCCGAGCCGCCGGGGCCACTTGGTCTTTAAAAAATCACGGAGAAACACGAGCATTTCGTTTGTGATCCTGCGCCATGGAGGTGACACACCGGAGCCTCGTCCTGCTGCTGGGCTGCATCCTCCTGGTCTCTGCAGAGGAAGGTGAGTGAGTCTTTTTATTCTAGTGCTGCCTAGTGCATGGACTTGTTTTCTGTGGCTACAACTGGTGTTATACGTATGGTAGCTCAGAAGTGCAAATCACAAAATATATAAAAACAAATTACAAAACTCAACAACAAATAAGAAAAAACAATGCATTAATAAAAAACACAAAAAATCACCCAAAAATTACGGCAATAAGATAACACAATGAAACATTTTGAAAACACAACGTTAAATCACAAAACATAACAACAAATACCAAAACGAAACAGAAAATTAAAAAAATTGAACGGCATATTAAAAATCATATTGGCCAACAAGAAAACAACAACAAATCACAAAATACAATGGCAAACATTAAAACTGAATGCTAAATCACAAAATGCAACGGCAGACAAGGAAACGCAAACTGTACCTATAAGGAAATACACTGGAAAATATGGAATGCAATGGGAAATAAGAAAACACAACTGGAAATAACAAAACACAATGGAAAATTAGAAAAACATGCGGATGGTCCTTCCATCCAATCAGCATCGAGCCTTGTTGGTACCAGGTACCAAACATTTTGAGTTAGAAGTGAATACGATTGTGTTTTGTAATTTGTCGTCGTGTTGTGCAATTTGTTGCATTTTTTAATTTTAATTTTATTTGCTGTTGTCTTTTGTGATTTGTCGTAGTGATTTGCACTTCAGGGCCACCGTAGCATTACATCCTGTTCCTCTCCACGAGAAAGTGCAATAAAAAACCCACAAGGAATTTCAAAAGCGTGCCTAGCAAACATCACACAAGAAGCTGACCTAAATCTCTGGAGAATCATCATAGAAATATGAAAGCAGGATATGACTGTAGCCATACTGATTAGAGGTACTTAGTGTTACATTTGTATCACCAACCCCGATATGAATGTCAGTGCGGAAATGTTCAGTCACTATATGGTTCTTCTCCTTCTTCAAAGAGTTGTATAGTCATTTTATTTCAAATAAAAGAAAAAGAGAAAAAAACATGTCTATAAATAAAGAAAAGATTGTTTTTCTCTCCTAATATCTTTAGTGAGGTCATATCTAAGAGTTTGCCTTCTCTATTAGGTTTCACTTTAAACCCATCAAAAGGTTTCTAGGCTGCTTCCTTGGGGGGCCCTTAAACCGCTTACCCTAAAATCAATACTAAAACATTCAGTGCGTGGAGGCTAATACAAGGCTAGAGTGATTTCTGTGGGATGACGTAGACAACTAGATGAGACACTTTAGCTTTTACATTTAACTTCACCGAAAAACCTCCAGTGCATTGTATCAAAAATGTAATGTGGATCATCATTTATATTAGCTTCTGACAGCAGATTTGACGTTAATGGTCAAATTGGATCTGTGCCGTGAACCCTGGAGGGACAAATAACACAGACAAGACTGAAATTATCTGTCATAATGCTCTAAGAAAATGATGGTAGTCTGGTTTTTACAGGCGAGGGTGGCTCGGCATCAACAGGCAGTGAAACTACCAGGCCGTTGTGTGGATAATTTTCTTAATGCAGGGGAGGAGGGCCGAATTTCACAAGGCTAGGTGTTTATTTCTTTTTTTTCCCTCCTGCCATGTCGCTGGCATTAATAGGGAATTTTCAGTTCTACAGAGTGAACTGAAAACTGAGTTTGTAAAAAATCTTGGTGATGCAACTTTCTGTAAAAGCTTTTATAGAAAACAGTGGAAATAAAAGGACTGTGTTTACTGGGGTTCAGAGGATCACAACTGGGTTTCATAAGGAGCTGTAGAACTGCAGGGGTTTTTCAAAAGTACCTTACTGCTGGGTTGGCTGCTTGCTGCTGTGTTCCTGTGAAGAACACTGTTTGATCTCCTTCATACTTTTTACTGGTTGGTACCATAGATGGATGATGTGACTGCTCCCCAAAACTGGAGCCAGAGCATCTTTATCTCCAACTGGTGCCTGGCTGCAGTGGAAGTCATAAATCCCACTTTCTCCTTAATAGCGGATGGGACTTTGGTGAAAACTAAAAAGTCAAAGTAAACATCAGAGGCAATAATACCCTCCCCCCTCATCATGTTAAAATTAGTGTTTGAATAAAAAGTGACTGCCCTGTGTGATGTTTGCCAAGTGTTTCTGTTTAGTTAGTGTTTTTAAGTAATTTGATGCGAAACATCACGATTGACAGCTAAGACTTGGTAGATCGTGTTTATCGCAACCTCAACACTGCGGCTCCATCCCCCAATCGCTGCTGCACAGACTCTGGTTCAGTACTCCTGTTGAGCAATATGGCAGCGTTCATATCTGACATATTTTGGCTTCATTTCAGGATAGTTGGACAAAGTGGAGACGCATCGTCGATCTTTATATGCAGTCTCTGGTCTGTAATGTTTGTGAGCTCACACACAGCGGCTTTAATTCCATCACTAGCATCTAGCATCGCTCAATGAAGAATGAGTTCATGTTTAACATAAAACAAAGACTTGATGAAATAAACAATTTATCTGGCTAATTTCCAACATGTACCCCTGTGAACTCGGGTTTCTTACAATAAAATAAATTAGCCTTGAAAACAATGAGCGCTTATACAATGAACATTCTCCTGAAGTTTGCTCATTCCAGTCAACAGTTGTAAACCAGAGCTCCACAACCATGCATGACTTCACCTTCTCTGTGGCAGGAACACAAATCTGTCAGCTACGTCTGGTTTTGAGGCTGGAAGCTACATATTTGTTGCACTCTCTTCATACAGGGGGGGATTTACAGTGTGGCTTTTGCTTTATGAACTATACAAACACAGAGACGTAGCGTATGTCATCACCTATGGATTTCTTGAGTGTCTTTTCAAGCTTGGATTTGGTGCTTGTGTATACACACCCAACAAAAGAAGATGTCACTGCAGCAACTGCAGAGTCTGAATTCTTGTGGGGGGGGAAAGCCATTGTTGACTTTGTATTTCAAGAGAGAAGTCTGGGAGTTTCCCAGACACTTAATTTTACTCTTACTCATGAGTTTCAGTTCTCCTATCTTTTTCTCAGGCACATATGAGATACTTAACCTCAAATCTGTGTGTGGGAAGCTGTGTCCTGCAGGTCCTTGCTGGCGGAATGATCAAAAATAGAAAGTGCCTCAGAATAGTCGCGGTTGACTTTGCTGTGTTTCGCTCTCGCTGGTTTTTAGAAGAAGCTGGTTCCAAACAGGTGCAGCGCTGGCACAGAGTGGAGAACAGGGAGGTAGACGGGGGGGGCTGAGGGGGTCTTGGCACCTTGTCGACTGATTCCAGAACATCTCTGTCTTGCCAAGTGTGAACAAGATGTCTGATTTCCATGTCTTGGGTAATGGCCTGCTCCTCTTCCAGCACACTGTGGATCAACAGCATCCCCCACTCCCCCCTTTTTTTCTCCACCTAGTAGGGAATTCTGTAATGAACTGATGGGAGGGCAGATGAAGCTCACAGCTGCCAGATCTCTCCTCCTTTTCCAACTAAAGGATAAATGACTCACTTACGCATGCCACTCGCTGGTTGGCACATGGATCTCTCTTCCTTCTATCTCCACGAAGATTAAAACACAGACCTCCTGATCAGATAACTACTTTGGCTGGAAATTAATAACAACCTCTGAATGGAAATTAGTAACAAGGATGCACACACATTGTCTCTCGGAACTCACATTCTTGTCTTTCTTTGATTGGCAGGACACTGCTATAATACATTCCTTCATAGCCCCTTACTCAAACTTAAACCAACACAACACTATATGCCGAACCCCAGCCCTTATCCTAACCCAAAACTCTAACTCTCAACTTGTCTGCATGCAAATGACACATTTTTACAAATGTCTTCTAAATTACAGATTTTCAAATACTGTTTGTGCAACCGTTTACATAAATAACAAAGTGCTCGGGGAAAGATGACACAGCTTACATTCCTTTTGTGAAATGAGCACCAGAAACGACAACAACAATTGTGGCCATATACTGGTTTCCCCCACATTTGGTTAGCTTCACTAGGTCTTATTACAAGTTTGCAGCAAACCTTAGCATTACAGCTCCACATTACCAGCACAGGTGTCTGCCTCTGCTTGGTCCTCACGACTGCAGAAAGACAAACACACTCTTTCTCTGCCTTTACTTTACATATAAATTCTATGATGTGCAGAAAAGTATAACGGATCCCTTAAACTGAAAAGACATAGGTTTATCCAGTATTGAGTCTCACTAATGTAGCCCCACTACAATTTTAAAACGTATTTGAATTTATAGATGTAAGCTATGAAGGATCCCTATCCTCCCACACACCCATAAAGTACCCATTTTGTTTTTCTCCCTGCCCCTCTTCATTCCTTGCACACACAGTTTCTCTCTCTTACCAATTCCAAATGCTGTCATTGACAAAGCACTGCAGTCTTGCCAACTGTTCGGGTCCAGAGCCTTAATGATATCAACACCTCTGTCAGAAGACAGATGCACTAATGATGTTCTGTCTTTTTTCCATGGCTTTTTTTTTGGCATTTTATTCAGACTCAGTAAACTGTGTGATCACTTGAGATATAATCATTTGTAGTCAGTCAACTTTTTACCCAAACTTGTGGGTATTTTAACCAAATTCTACAAAAGTTGATAAAAGTAAATGTGTTTTTTTATTGTATTTGTGTTTCCATCGACTACCACTGTGTGAATATTATGATCGACAGGTGAGGTGGCGTGGAATCCTTGCAGAAGAAGGTGCAACAAGACGACATGATTACAGGGCAGCAGTACCGTTAAAAATGAATGGAAAGGAATTTGGAAAACATGATAATATGGCATTTATCTTTGATTTATGTATCAAACTGAAGGGACTCTTCCTCCTCAATGGAAAATGTGAATAAAAACAGGTGGATATTAAAAAAAATATTGACCATGGATGAGTAGCGGTGGAGAAAAAGCTCTGAAGTTGACGTGTTATCGTCTGCTGAGCTGTGCTGTTCTGTCAAGTTAAGGCTGTGTCCCTTCAGCAAAATTGTTTACATTCGGCTGGTAG